CACTCAGGCTCGCACCGCGCGCAGAGTCAGGCTTCCCCCTGCGTTGAACTTGTGGCTGCGGCTGCCGCGCGCGATCGAAATCGTGCGAAACCAGCGCCGCGGGTCTGAAAACCTCCGCTGCTTAGCTTTGGCTGCCGTAGGCGTGCCTACCGCGAAACCCTCGCGAGATTGTAAACACGCGCTCGATGACTGACGTGGGTCGGGTCACAATCCGAACCAAGAAGCGGGTCGGTTCGGTCCAGAAAATTCGACCCGTTTGCAAAAACGGGTCAACAGCCGACCCGAACCCGACAGTGTCGGAAATCAATTTTCGGGTTTGACCCGCGACCCGAACCCGTGACCCGAAATTGACACCTAACTTTTATTATTGCACCTAATCAACATTAATTTAACTAAAGTGCATCTGCGATTATATCTATAAGTCTTTTCAAATTAATTTTTTGCAATTGCATATATATATTGTAACTTAGATATTATAAATAACTTTTTTATGAAGTCAATCTAATCTACTCTGAATACGATCACTCAATTCGATCCGAACTTGATCCCCGAAAATGTCAAAGTGTTGATAAGTTTTAATAGCACAATCAGATCAGATGGCATTTAAATTTAAGTATCTGTTCTGACCGCCAAAATTGATTTTGACAAAAAATTAATTCCTAATATTTTCTTAACTTTTATTTTATTATTGGGTATATTCCTTACTAATAATAATCTAACTTAGATTAATTAAGTTAAATATTTTTTTTTAATTAAGATAGTATTCATCCGCCTCACGTTCTGCGGCCCCCCCCCTGGGAGTAGCACGCCCATTGGTTTAAGTTCAGTTTCATGTGTATTAAACTGATCAGTCAGCTAATACCAAATGTCGAAATCGTGTCAAAATTTGGTTCAAATCGACCGGACTAGGGCCATTGATACCCTATTATTATTATTATATTAATAATGTATATATTCTATTTATATCATTAAACTCTCTCCTAAATCAATTCAAAAAATTATAACACACTAAATATATAATAATAATCCCCCTCCCTACCAACATTAATAAATATAATTTAATATATTTTAAATTGATATATATAATTTCAAATCTCTCACCAGGTTATAGTATATTGTATTTAAAAAAAAGTATATGATAAAAAAAAAAAAAAAAGAATTAAAAAATGTGTAAATATTGTGAACGAACTCCCAGCACCCTCATTTCCCACCGCTAAGTTATAATATAAAGTTTAGCGTTTAGTATTATACGGACCTAGCACCAATCAGTATAAAGAGAGGGTGTGTAACATATAAGACACCTAATGATAATAAAAAAAATATACCAAAATATGAGAAAACCCCTGACACGAAGAGGACAAAACCATGGGTCTTCGCCAACAAGATAATAAGAAATAAACAACTAAGATATTGTTTGATTTACAAAGGAGGCCTTCTCAGGAAAGCCCTTAGCTTGATGGGTACGTATTCTTATTTATAGAGGAGCGATAAAACATGAAATAGAGAAATAACAACGCCTCATTGTTTTATTTGTGTTTTTGTTGTCTGGGAAGACTGAGAATAAACGTTGTGCGATGTACCGGACTCGGTTGGTCGACGTAAGTCGGTGGGGAGAGAGCCGAGTGAGGGGGGAAGGAAACGAAAAAATACACAGAGGTCGAAGAGCTACATCTCGCTCACGTCTCCGCCGGACCCTCGACGTACGAGAAATAGCTGAGAACGCGTACGTCTCGGGCGGATCAGAGGATTTGCGGACCAGACTATAGTCAGGCTGCGGCCCTGTCACGCAAGTCTTGAAAGACCGGTACGTCTGTCGGGCGAGAGATGGTTGTGAAGACTGTAGTGCGGTGGTGGGAAACAGAACAGTAAATCACTGAGGACAGAGAGAGTAAGAAAGACACAGCACACAGAACACAGGAAGGTACAGGAAGAAACGTATGTATAACAATGGAAGAGACAGAACAGAACCCATCTAATAGTAGACCATAATTGGCATAAGTTCCACTCTAGTGTAGATTTAATGTCTTGTATATGTCCTGCACCAATCTGGCAGCCTACATACTGAATGTAATCGAGGATACGAAATAGGAAGAACGAGTCAGGAAGAGTACACGACATACTGGTAGAAGTCTGTCGCTATAGATTAGTAACGAGAGACGAAGTGAATAATTTGCTAATTATAGATGATATTCAGAAGCAGAGTACTCCTAACTGTCACTTGGATGGTATCGGAATTTCGCGTCAAATATAGGAAGTCAGGAACGGAATATCCACAGACGAACCACTAAATGACAGATATCCGACGACGGTGGTCGACGAGGGAGTTCTTCCCTCCTATCTACTGACAATACTTGTTGTAGGTTTGAATGGACGGCGGGTATCTGAATCCTTATTGTGGACAGTCGTCAGCATACCTCAGTGTGCTTAAGATTGTCGAATTTAACCGGTATCTTGATTTTTTTAAAAAAAAAAACCCGCCCGTTGCGGACGTCCCTTCGTCTCGTCGACGTCCGACCAATTCGAAGTCCCTATTAACTCACACATACTTTTGAACCGTTGGTTAATCAAATTTTTTTTTTTGTGTTTTCGTATACTTTCACAGTCACTTCGCGTAGGTACTTGATTTGGACTTCATTTGAAGCTCATGACTTTCGACGCCTTGCATTTGGTGACGTTGGGTTGTACTTTCCTGAGGACGGCTCAGTCGTAAACCCCCATAAAAGGTTTGCGGAAATCTGGTTCATAATGTCCTCCCTAATAATCTTTTAAAGTTTCCCGCTTTGTACTTTTCGCTCATCGGAATCGCGGCGCGACCTCAAGATAACTTTAACTGATAAACATATCAAATGATAAATTTCAATGATATTTATAGTAAATACCCTTTTCAAATAAATAATAATATTTATTTTATAAATATCTATATCTTTAAAAATAATTAATAATAAATCATCAAAATATGTACTATATTTCTAGAAAACAAACAATTTCCTACGGCACCCGGGGTTGCGAGTGCGCCTGTGCGCTGCGGACAAAATAATGCTCGAAGTTTAGTTCTTGACGATAAACACGCTCTCCCGTTAAGCTTCGATGTTCATCTTAAAAATATTCTATTCATTGCTTTTTGTTCTCCTTTTTCCTAGCATCGTAATGTCTTGATATTTTGCTCGTGTCTAGTGTGGAGATTCTGCGAAGTAATCCTCAGCTCCGCCTTTGCCAAGGAGGTGGATCTCATTCTTAATATCATTGTCAGGGCATTCATGGTTTTTGATGGGCTAATTATTTTTGAAGTACATATTATAGAACACTACAAATATTCGATGAATCTGATTGGACTGGATACCATTACGTATAAAGATTAATCTCCAATTTAGTAATTTGTAAGGTTGTGAGAGATAATTGAAGAAAGTTTTGACTGTAATTTGGAGGGTCTATGGATTCATGGTGCAACAGCCGTGGGTGGTCTGGGATAGAAGTCTGATAATAAAAAAAGAAAACAAGTGTCACCTGCACTAACCATAGTTACTTCTAGGATTAGAGATTGATTCATATACACATATGGCATATATAATGATGAGTGAAGAAAATAGAGATTGTTGTGTATGTGCAGGAGTTAATAATTGGAAAGATTGGGTGTGCATGATATCTATTTCAATCTATTTATTTACTTATTGAATGGGTTCTTTTTGGGGGGGGGTTATAAGACTATAAAGGATCACTATCTATAATAAGCTGCATTTTGAGAGAATTCATGATAAACAGATTAATAGTGCTAAAAAATTGAATAGGGGGACAGAGGGTGGGGCGAGGCCGATGCATAGTAACTATTGTTTTGTGTGATAACAGTCTTCTATCAATCTAGCGATGCACAAATTGCTATGATTATTTAATGCAGAATGCGAGGCTTACACAGCAAGCAACAGCTACTTGTGGCTATGTAATTTATGCCACCACCAAGATGAAGACATTTTCACTCTTAGTAAGAGGTGTAAGAAGAAGTGAAAGTTAATTAGTTGAATCTTACATCCAATAGTGTTTTTTAAATACAAATTGATAGCCTACGTGAAGGGGTATCTTAAAAGGTAACAGTATATTTATAAAGACTAGTTAGGTATCAGTACGCAGCCCATTGGAGTTCTACATGCGAGAGACGATGTAAGTCGCAGTGTAATAAGACACGAGTTGGATTAAAAATTAGCAAAGGTGAAGGCGAATCAGATGCAAATAAGAACAAGATTAGAGGTGAGTGCTTGATTATGTCTTTTTCTTTTCTTCTTTTTTTTTTTTAAACCACGCAAAGCAGACATCCCTTCGTATAAGTTTGATCACCGCCCATCAATTAATGCTCGACAGCTGGAGTTTCTTTGTTCCTAATGTGATAGTTGTAAAGGCGATCACCCACAACATATGAGATATTAGTAATGACCATCTGCTTGCATCTCACGTAGACCACCCCCGTGATCACAACTATTGGTATAATTTCCTTATTTTTCTAATAATTAATCTAAAATTTATGATTAATAAGTTAAATAAAAATTTATTTTTTAATAAAAATTTATTTTTTAATTAGGACTAGTTATCAGGTCAAGTTTGAGTTGATAGTAGGTTGGGTTTGAGTTCAGTTTTTTAATGTGTTTATTAAACTGATCAGGTTCAGCTTAATCAAATTTCGATCGTGTCAAATTTGGTTCAGATCGAATCTGACTTGTTGACTCATTTTGATACCCTAATTTATTATTATTATTATTTTGTATATATCTATTATATATCATTTAAATCTTTAAATTATATTAAAATTTATTTATACAAATATATATATTTTTTGAAATAAATAAATATTAATATTATTTTTAATTTGATTTATAAATTTAAATGCTATATAAGTATATGTAAAAATTAGATGTATGTAAATATTGTTGCGTCCAGGAGTATTCGCAGCGGTAGAGAAATATAAAGTTCATTTGTTGATAAGACACTACCTAGAGATTTCCTAAAAACAACAATTTCCTACGCACCGTTGTGAGTGCGCCTTGGCGCTGCGGACAAAATATGCTCGAAGTTTAGTTCCTTTGACGATAAAACATCGGCTCTTCCCGTTAAGCTCGAGTCATCTAAAATACATCAGGTGCTTTTGTTCTCCTTCTTCCTTAGCTCGTAATGTCCTTATATTTTGCTCGTGTTCTAGTGTGGAGATCTGCTAAGTAATCCTCAAGCTCCCCTTTGCCAAGGTAGGTGGATCTCATCTTATATCAGCAGGGCATTCATGGTTTTTATGGCTAATATTTTGAAGTCATTTTGCTTCATTCCTGTTTGTTGGTGCTGATCCATACGTAAAGTTTGTAATTTAGAATTTTTGTTAAGTTTGTGAGAGGAAATGTGAAAAGTTTTTGCGTAAGTTCTTGAGGTCATATTCATGCACACATGGTGTCTGATCAAATGCCTGAATAAAAAAGGAAACAAGTGTGATGATCCATTTACTTCTAGGATTGGATTGATCTTCTTAATGGCATTTTTTAAGTGTAGAAAATTAGAGATTATGTGATTCAGTAATTAATTATCGAGGAAATATTGGGGCAGGAAAATTTTCAACTATAAGTACTATGATGGTTTCAAATGACATAAAGGATCACCTTCTTTATTGCAAATTTTTGATTCATGAAAAGATTTTAGTGCTAAAACATTTGAATGATACAATTGGTCTACCGTGCATAAGAACTATGTTTGGGAAACAGGCTTCATCAATCTAGCATGACAAATTGCTATGATTATTTATGCCAGAAAGTGCGAGGCTACACAGCAAGCACAAGCTCCTTGGTTGCCTATGAATTTTATGCCACCACCAAGATGAAGACATTTTCACCCTTTAGTAGAGAGGTGTAGAAGAAGTGGAAGAGTAAAGTAACTTAATTCAAAGTGTTTTTAATACAAATGATAGCTCATACAGTGAAGGTATTTAAAATGTAAACAGTAATGATGAAAGACTGAGTTAGGAGTAGCAGCCAGTTGGAGTTTAATGGCTGCGATGTAGGTGCAGTGGTAAGACACGGTTTGGATTAAAAATTGAAAAGGTGAATGGCTGCTCTAGTGCATAGAGAAGTGGAGGTAGTGGTTGATATGTCGGCGAGCGTACCGGTCGATAAGTTATCACCGCCCATCAAATTAATGCTCGACATGCTGGAGTGTTCATTTGTTCCTAAGTGTGATGAGTTTGTAAGGCGACAACAGTTTGGTTAGTAGATCAGTTGGTTGATCTAGTGAGACAATGTGATAAATAGATATTTCATTGGAGTGAATGCAGTCCCTTATGAAGTGGCGTGGGCTCCGAAAATTCGGTCCCGGCCTCCCCCTGTTGCTTTTCTTTGCTGGAGTTTTAACGGATTAAGTTGCAGGATTAATTTTGGGAAGACAGATAAGTTTGTTGATAAGACACTACCTAGAGATTTCATCCTCATTTTGCGAGGACTTTATGATATGAGTTCTGGTTTCCTATTGGCACAAGCCCCTATAGTTAATTACCCCTCCCGATCAATAGAGAGAACTTTCGATTAAGGCTAGTCGTCAATCAGATACGTAAAGATATGTGTTATCATATAGTAGAAGCATGAGTTAGACGTTGGAAATGTAATATTTAAAATTGGAAATTTCATCATCTTACACTTAAAGCGGATGGTGGGGGAATGGATGATGGACCCGATCAAGATCACATGGTTCTGTCGTCTCAAGCCATCGTGGTCCCTGGTCTACTTAGTCAGAGGAGGTAGTCGACCCAACCTGACAGAAGGATCCTTGTCGACAGCCATGAGTTGCTTCGTTAAAGGGTAACTCATAGACCTGGGGTGGATATTTACCTAAGGGGATAAATTTAAATTCACCTTAGCTAACAGAGGGCTTTGTGCCCTATCGACTATATCCTATTAATTCATATCTTAAGGATTTGATGTCACTGAGGAACGTATTGACTCTACTTATAACCGTATTTAGTGGTGCTATTTGGTAGAAAAATCACTCGGTTCAGAGGACCCCGAGTCATAATCATTTATCATGCGGGGCCATTTGGCGGCAAAATTGCCGGTCGGAGGATACGTTCCACGTCCTTACTGGTAGGAAATTATTTGAGAATGGATCATAATAATATTTTCGACTAGGCATTAGCTCTATGTGAGCTGAAGTAAATTTTAATTAGTCCACTTCAGCAAACTGTTGCGGAGGGTGGATGGATTTTACTTTAGATGTTTTATGATTGAATTTCAGTTTTAAATATTTGAATTTGATATTTTGTGGAGTTTTAGATTTTGAATAAGTATTTGAGATGACATTCACAAATATTTGGACTTGACCCCTCCAGTTCAGATTTTCTGTCAACACGACCATCATCGGAGTGGCTTTGAGGTCACTTGAAAATTATTTGAATTTTATAGAAGTTTGAGGGCGTTTTAAAATATTTGAAATTAACCCCTCCAGTTGTGATCTTCATTCAGCACGACCATCATCAGGGTGAATTCGAGGTCATTTGAAAATATTTGAATTTTATGAAAGTTTGAGGGCATTTTGAAATACTTGAAATTGACACCTCCGGTTGAAATATGCATTCTACACGCCATCATCAGAGTGAATTTGAGGTATGTTGTTTGGTTCAGTGGTTGCAATAGATCCTCACGTTAGGATCATAAGCCTCGTGATAGGGAGGAGATGAAAGATGGGAGCTCGGTTTGCGAATGCGACAGCAAGATCAGCTATAGGTGGCTTCGGTTGAGAGGCTTTGGAAGTGGCAAGGAGATTGAGGGAAGAGGTTGAGTCTAGTGGAGAAAGGAGGCAGGGAGTGTGCGAATGGGAAGAAGAGTTCGATTTTGGGAGCTCGTGAAGCTTGCAGGAGTTATGCCGTTCCTGTGACGAGCTGTAGAGTTGGAAATCAGGGAAGAGCCGCTTCGCGCCAGGTGCATGGTAACTCGACGGGATTTCTTGCAGGATTTGCAGAGATTGGGGCGGCATTTCGATGGATACGAGGTTTGTTTCCTTTTCTTTTTTGTTCATTACATAGAGGTTTACAAGTGGTAATCTATCTCTATGTGTTTCTTCCTAGCATAGAAGATGAGATTGTTGGAAAGGCTGAGAGCTGACGTATTGTTGCAGTAAAGAGGTGTAGGGGTCTGTTTTGGTGATTGAACATATGTAAGCGACAAAGCCAAACAATGTCAGAAGCGGCAGAGGACAAGGCACGGTACTCCACTTCAGTAGAGGACTTGGCGACAGTGGGCTGCTTCTTGACACTCCAAGATAAGAGTGTCACCAAGGTAGGTGCAATAGCTTGTTGTTGATTTTGTGTCGGTTAGATCTGAAGCCTAATTGGAGTCGGTATAAGAGTGTAGAGTTAGAGAGCCTTTGATGATTGGTCTACTGAGAGTGAGAGTGCCTTTAATACACCGAAGTATTCTTTTGAATAGTTGATAGTGTTTGTTTAGTAGTTGCTGCATAAACTGATACAATTGATTCGTAGTATCGGCAATGCCGGGTTGAGTAATTGTAAGATAGTGCATAGTGCCTGTGAGCTTCTGAAATAGTGCATGATTTGTAAATGATTAATCTGCATCTCGGAAGCCGAAGGTTTCAATGGAATGGGGGTGATAGCAAGTTTGTAATCAGCTATACCAGATTTTTAGAGAATATCTTAGGGGTATTGACTATGGTGGAGAAGAAAACTAACTGCCATGTGATGTACCTGAATGCCCAGAAACAGAGAAGATGACCTAGAGTTTTGATGGATAATTTCTGTTTGAGAGTGGAATTGTTGTTTAAAGAATTTGTGGATTATTGTCGGTGAGAAGAATGTCATCTACATAGATGAGGAGATTGGCGGATGTGCCATTATTTGAGTACACAAATAGGGTGGGGTCAGAGGAGCTAAGCCAAATGCCTTGTAGCTAAAGGAAATTGGAAAATGTTTTGAACCATTGATGTGTAGTTTGCTTCAGCCCGTAGATTACGTTGTGGAGTTTGCACACATGCTTTAAATGAAGATGATCAGTGAAACCATAAGGTTGGGTCATGTAGATGTTTTCATTGAGCATTCCATGAAGGAAGGCCTTGGACATGTCGAGTTGGAGTATGGACCAAGAGTGATGGAGAGTTGTAGCAAGAAGTAGTCAGATGGTGGGAGACTTGGCAACAGGGTTAAAAGTTTCGGTGTAGTATATATCGAATTGTTGTTTGAACCCTTGGGCCACTAAATGGGCTTTGTGTCAGTCGATGGTGCTAGTGGAGGTGACTTTGGTTTTACAAGTCCAGGTACAACCAATGATATTTTGGTTGGGAGGAGGAACTAAGGATCATGTTCCTTGTTGTAGAAAAGCAGTAAACTTGGTTGACTTGGCTCTACGCCATTCAGGAGATTTGAAGGCTTGACTGAATGATGTTGGAGTAAGGGTAGATGATTTTTGGGCAACAAGTGTGAAGATTGGTTTTAGTTTTATTTTCCTGTTTTATAGCGAGTAATCATGGGATTAATGTTGGGAGTTTGTATAATGTGTTGGGAATTGATGTGGAGTTATTGGAGGTGGGATATGTCACCTGTAGTGGAGATGGTTTGCTTTGGTGTGGGCAGGAGACTTAACCAGTGAGATAGCCGTTGAAGTTGTTGGCTGACAAGATTTTTTGGATTTGTAGTCGCCAAATGGGATAGTTCTCGGTGCTAAGGTGGGTATGAACTACATTTTTTATGTTAGACATGAGAAATTTTAGGGAGGAAAGAATGGTGAGTTCGAGGTGTGCTGAACAGTCGGATTCCTGAGAGATTGGAGCATCTGTCGGGAAACAGTGGAGGCGGCCATTTGTTGGAAAAGCAGAAGATGAAGAGGGACAGGAGAGTAGGTGAGCGGCTATTAAGCTAACTTCTGATACCATGAAGACATTTTCACCCTGCAACATAGAGGTGTAGAAGAAGAAGAAGAAGAATGGAAGAGTAAAGTAACTTAATTCGAAGTGTTTTTGATACAACTGATAGCTCATACAATGAAGGCATTTAAAATGTAAGCAGTAATGATGAAAGACTAAGTTAGGAGCCGCAGTCAGCTGGAGCTTAATGGCTGTGATGTTGGATTAAAAACTAAAAAGGTAAATGTCTTCTTTAGTGGAGAGAGAATTGGAGGTAGTGGTTGATAAGCCGGTGAGCGTATCAGTCGATAAGTTATCACAAGAAACATCAATAATTGAAAGCTTTTATGCACAAAAAGTGTTTTCCATTCGATTGCATTACAATCAATCCTTATGAAAAGCTTTCCAACATCATCAGTGATAGTAATTCCTAGTATTTTACTGAAAATCTTGATTATGATGAAATTATTCATTTTTTTAGCAACTCTTGGAACATATTACCTCAGCTGTCTATCTTTCCACCTTACGCTACAACACTTCTTCCACTAGATCCTGACCAGGAGGATGATTATAACAATGAGTAGATCTGTTCATTCATGAAAGCCCATGATTTATTTTGATTTTTTGCATTTTGGGGAGATTTTGATGGCTATCTCCTAATTTTTGGTTTCTTTATGTTTAATTTTACTGATTGTCAGTTTAACATACGATTACTTGCAATTGGTCTTGGGGATCACATGCACAGGGTTTGATTTTACATAGAACATTCGGCTCAATCAGAGCCGTCCAGCACCGGCATGCCCTAGAAGATTGAGGTATCATCTCCTACCTCCTGATAACCATGATACACATTGGCTTTGGATAGGTTTTTATCATAAATATGTGATGGATTTTAGAGTTCTAAGAGTTTAAATCCACAATTCACAAACTTGTAGGATTTCAATCACACATCTTCCCCTTGGCTCCAACAAGCTGCAGCAGGCATCTATTTGAACTAAGGTGGTTTGCAATGCTTTGGATATCAAACTCTGACAAGTTAAGCAAAGTGCTTGGGTGTTTCAGGGGTTGTCGAATGAGATAAAATGCTCTCAATCTCCATAATACCCCCCCCTCCCAGCTTGAGGGGGTTCAGCCCCTGACTGTACCCCATCAATAACTTAAGTGAGGAAAACATGGACTGTGACAGTCTCAACTGCATTATCCAGAAGTTGTTTAATCGTTGTAAGGAGCATCATTCAGCAATTTATTCTGCGTACCCTTAGGATCCATCATAGGATGACTTGGGCACCTACTTTCATCTATAGTTCGTATATTCAAGCAAGGCATTCGACATAAGAAGTGCAATACCCAAAGACTGCTTTGATGAAATACATAATTTATTCATTCAGGCCAATATCTACCCTGTGGGTGCAGATAGAAGAAACAACAAATTAGTCATATAAAAAAACCTTAAATGACCTATTGATTCAACAAACATATCAGAGCTTGTTTATGAATTGAGGGAGCAATAATCTTTCTTAATAGCAAGATTCACACGAGCAAGAAAGGTGGTATATATCGATGAATCAATTCGACTGGTTTGCCTGCCAAGACTAGCAATTTACTTATATGTAGTTTAGCTCTTCTTTAATCAGCATGTTCTTAAATTGTGATCTAAACTACATAACTGGTGGTGCCATATTACCTCAGCTGTCTATCTTTCCACCTTACACTACAACACTTCTTCCACTAGATCCTAACCAGGAGGATGATTCTAAGTTCTAACACGGAGTAGATCTGTTCATTCATGAAAGTCCATGATTTCTTTTGCATTTTTTGCACTTTGGGGAGATTTTGATGGCTAGCTATCTCCTAATTTTAGGTTGATTTTTTTTTTTTGTTTCTTATGTTTAATTTTACTGATTGTCAGTTTAACATGTGATTGCTTGCAATTGGTCTAGGGTTTGATTTTACATAGAACATTCGGCTCAAACTGTGCCGTGCATCCCCGGGGTGCCCTAGAAGATTGAGGGATCATCTCCTACCTCTTGATAACCATGATACACATTGGCTTTGGATAGGCTTTTTTTCATAAATATGTGATGGATTTTAGAGTTCTAAGAGTTTAAATCCACAATGGACAAACTTGTATGATTTCAATCACACATCTTCCCCTTGGTTCCAACAAGCTGCAGCAGGCATCTATTTGAGCTAAGGTGGTTTGCAATGTTTTGGAGATCAAACTCTGACGAGTTAAGCAAAGTGCTTGGGTGTTTCAGGGGTTGTCGAATGAGGTAAAATACTCTCAAGCTCCATAACACTTTCTCTAAGGCTTCGTTTGGGACGGCTTTCTTATTGCTTCTTAGAGCGGCTCTCTTGTATAAAAATTTTAATTTTTTTACTAAAAAGCAGCTTTAAGAAGCAATAAAAAACTGTCTCGAAAGAAGTCTAAGTGTCGGAAGAGTGTCGGCAAGCTCAATTCCATAGAGGACAACCTACTTAAGGATATCTGATTTGTGATTATTCCATTTGCATAGAACAAGTAAGCTTTAGCTATCTGCCCCACTACATAGATAAGGTTGCTAAGAGCTCTTTGCATATGTAGGAGTTTGTGAAGGTAAATAGACATAACAGTTGTCAAATTTTACTTTTTCTTCTTTTCTTTTGAGTTCAGCCCAAAGGTCTTGATGAGCCAAAAAGATTAATAAGGGTATTTGTAGTTCTACAAGCTTCCATTCAAGCCTAGGATTAACCAATTTGACCATAGTCAACTACATTTGTTTTAGACTTTGTTTGTGATGAATTTCTTGTCGCTTCTTAAATTGAAATTTTTGTATTAGAAAACTGTTTTAAGAAGCAATAAAAAAACCGTTTCAAACCAATCCTTAATTGACACAATTTAACTTTCTATCATTTAGTTGATCTTTATCAACTAACTAATATCATCAGACCACTAACTGACCGCCATTGTCAGACTTTTGTTGCTTGGCCAACCTTGTTCTAACCTAAAAGTAAGTTCATGCATACTCATAAAGAGTCAATGGAAAGCCACCAAGAAAATAATATCTAGGCCTAAATTCTTCGCTTAAAGGAGCAAAATTACAAGTTAATGAGGTTCCATTAACCCATCAATGGAGGCCTGATAAACTTAATGGAGGCATTACTGTTGAAATCTTCTTTAAGAAAATAGCTAATACTTAAAAAAATCATAATAAATTCATTTCTAATTCAATGCATATCATATAATATATAAAATAGCATCTACAAAATCCAATACAATGAAATTTAAGCATGAATTTTGAATGTATTAGTAACTTTATTAATAATAATTATAGAACATTTTTATAAAATTTTAAATATATCAAACGAGCTTATGAAAAATTTATATACTTTTTGCAGAAACATATATGCATCAGAAAACTATCATAATATATATATATTAAATAAGATATACGTTAACTAATCTTTATTAAAGCAATTAAATATAATTAGCATGCCAATAATAAATTTAATGATATACTTATAAAACTTAAACTCATATAGATAATTTACAATTTCTTTAATAAACAATCCCAAAAAAGAAATTAAATTTTAAAATATGATTACTAATTATTATAATCTATATAAAAATGAATACTAATAAATTAAATAAATTCTAAACAATTTTAAAAAATTCATGTATAAATATACAATAATACAAACAATTTTCTTAGAATATAATGTCAATATAGTATTGGATATTTATGAAATTTTTTTGAACATGTAAATGCTTTTAATGTTATGAGCTCTAAAATCTTAGGATTATGACAAAGATGAATAATTAAGAGATGTTGGCATTATTAAGTAGGTTAAAGTCATGACTTTGTATTTGAAAGAAACAAAACAAGACCTTTTAGTTATGAAAATCAAGATGATTACAACACACTATTTATCTTTATTTTCAAATCTTAGGCGTCGTTTGGGTACAATTTTTTGCCACTACTCTTTCGTCATTTTCAAGAAAAAATTATGCTAAAAAACAATTAAAAAAAAACAATAAAAAAACTATCACAAACGAAACTTTTATGTTCATTCAATTTTATACTTTGCATGCTTTAATTTTTCTAAGTGGAGCCTTTGTTGGTGCCCTCATTTCAGCCTTTGTAAATGATTTGAGCCCGGCCGTCAATTGACACCAGATTTCCGCCTAGCCACCGATTGATGCCGTATTTCCGTGTGATCTCCAATCGTCACTATATTTCAGCCTGAAAATTGATTGTCGTAATCTGATCATCATCAATATGACAGATCAGTCATTTGTAATCTATTCAAATATTAGTTGAATCATTTCAACTAGGCGTGACCTCATTGTTTTTCTCTTTTTCAATGTTTCCCACGTAAAAAAAATCTTATGTTTTCTTAATTTCTTGTTTGTGTGCTAGACATTCATACAATGCTGAGACGAAAAATTCTGACCCTATCACCGTGTAATTTCCCGCCCGCAACAATAAAGAAAACCATCTATGAATTGATGCCACAAAGAGCCTCTATATTAGATAAAATGATAAATGCAAATTGCAGCCCATAATGCGCAGTCCTCAAATACATTATATTACGACCTTATTAATTCAGCTAACTAAGCCACTTGACCATTTGCTATTAGTACTAATTATGAAGCATCTGCGATGCTTACTATATTCCCTTAGCTTTACAACAAAATAGCTATCGTTACAAAAAAAAAAAAATTAGAAAGCTCTGCGTACTATATTCTAACTACGTTGTCAATTTTTAATACTGTGGATGATAACATAAATTATATTGATCAGCAGATGAACAGTGCTGCATTGACGTATGATCGCCGGCCGATTATAAGCAAATAAATAAGAAGTGGGGAGTAAATGGCCGATTTCGTGTGAAGTTTTATTATTCAAATCAAACGGTCGACAATAAAGAATGGCATTAATTCAATTATGTTTTAAATGATTAGCAACTTGTCATTAGAAAATATGCAATTTGATAAATTTATAGCTAGGGCAATGTGATGCACACAATGATCGAAAATTTGTCGAGGAAACTTTAAGATTTTGTTTGTGATAGCTTTCTTACTGGTTTCTTAAGTTGCTTTCTCGTATAAATTTTTCATGTTCGGAAAATTTTATATTAAAATAGCTGTATGAGCAAGACGAATATCAAGATTACACGTATTATGTAATCATTAATGTATTTGGATATTAAAAAAAATGTATAAAATAATTATTTGTGATCAATTCTTAAAACCCATTGGTGTGTCCAATTTATGAAAAAAAAAAGTCTAGAATTCTTATTTTTGAAATATGTTATAAACCCTATTTCTACACGTATGGAGGAGGACTTTTGGGAGAGATATCAATGACTTCAAGAATTCAAGAACATTGGCTTCTCCTCGGTCTTTCATAATTTTTTTTTTTTAACTTTTCATAATATGTAATGTATGAGTCTAATGTATTTCTCCTAAGGTCAGCTTATAGCTCCGCTTCAGCTTATAACTCCATTTAGGCATCGTTTGGGACGGTTTTTTTATTGCTTCTTAAAGCAACTTTTTAGTAAAAAAATTTTAAAAAGTCAACTAAAAAGCTGTTAAAAAAAAAACAGTAAAAAAGTCATCCCAAATGAAACCTTAATCTCTCACACCTGCATATAACAAGTGCAGTCTATGAAAAATAAAGTAACCTCCCATACCCATTTCTAGGGGTGTCAATTTCGAGTCACGGGTCGGGTTCGGGTCGAACCCGGAACTGACCCGGGTTCAAACGGGTCAACCCTAACCCGACCCCGGTAGACAAACGGGTCGGAAAACCGAACCCGGACCCGACCCGGGGTATACCAATTTTGCTTGGGCAATCCTTGAAATCCCCTCCAAATTCCAGCATGCAAGGGGAAGATCGTGTATCTTGACCCAAATCGGAATCAGAAGCGAAGTTGTCTCTCGTAGGCTTGGAATTTGGGGTGGCCCATTTTTGGAGATAAAAGGTCTACCCAGCAGGAACCAGACTTCCGCCGCGACGAAAACATTCATAATCTTCGGTGGCGCATTGTGAAGGCGAATAGAAAAAACCAATCGCTAAGGGAATAGTAGCATATGAACGAGAACCTTTTAAGACTCCACGTTTTTCTTAAATCGCCCCACAGAGGTGCTTTCAATAAAAGGTATTCGACTATAGATATCCACAAGACACAGATTCCAGTCTTCTTCACCCCTTTAGAGAGGCTCTTGTTTTGAGAAAGAGACAATCTCAGGCTCATCGGGAAAGTGGGGAGAATTGAGAGCTTTAGGAGCAGAGGACTCCGGTGCAAAGACCAAGATTCCAATTTTTAGGAGTGAACTTAGCCTTTAACAGACGGAGACTGGAGATGCGGTGGAAAATCCGAAGCGAAGGAGACAGTCTCCATAAGCAGCGTAGGGGAAAAGGCCTCCGGCAAACGCGGAGGAGGAGGGAGGCGGGATGAACACAGAGGCGGCGGGAAGAGGAAGCCCTAGCAAAGACTAGTTTCCCTTCACTTGCCACATATGAATCATGCAACCCATGCAAAGAACAAACCCTTCTCTTCCGACTTAAGTTATTTTTTTTTCAGTTGATTTTCTTTATGTTGATTTCTTGTGTGTATTAAACAAACAGGCATTCTAGTTTCGCAATAGTTTTCTCTTAATATTCCTCTGAAATTAATAATTGAAATGAAATATTTAGCAAGTAGACTTTTATATGTAATGTGTCTTATTGTTGACAATTCTAATAACTCATCATCATCATAATCACGTATTAAAATCTCATACCGCTTACTCAGCATTCAAATTTGCATTATTCATGCAAGACATAGTTAGAAGTTCTATTCTGTGAAATGTGATAAGTGCACTATTTGAAATGACGCAAAGCCCCATGTATTTTGTTCTGGCCCCATCTACCTTGTGTAGATGTAGGAGGATTCTGACCCTACTTACTTGAAATGGGAGGGGTGTCATATTTGACACGACACGAAAACCAGACCCGGACCCGACCCGAAAAATCAGGGTTGACCCGACCGATTTCAAAACGGGTCTGGGTTCGGGTTCGAATCCCGTTAAAGGGCGGGTTCGAGTGCTGGGTCAACCCGCCAACCCGTTTAATTCGAAAAATTTTCGAATTCGCCTCTGCCCGCGCCTGCCCGCGCGCGCCCGCGCGTGCCTCCGTGCGCACCAGTTGTCCTGCCAGCGCGCCAGCCTAGCGCTCGCCGCGCTAGCCTGCCTCGCCCGCGCTGCCCCGCTGCGCGCGACCCGCCTGCGTGCCCCAGACCACCGCGCTCAGGCGCTGCCCGCGCGCGCCCGCCGCGCTCGCGTCCCCCAGCCGCCCGCCGTTCCTGCGCCGGCCACCCAAACCGGGTCGGGTCAACACCGCTGGGTT